CAGTACCCTAATTTCCGGTAGATAAGCCCGCGCCGATATCACGTAAAAACACCTCCGCTCGTGCAGTGTAACTTTGTACACCTTAGAAACTACCGTAAATTTGCCTATAGAGGTAATTCGATGCCCTGATTACGAAAATGACTTTCATTTTCAGCGGTGGCGCCATCTGGCGCCAGTTGGCGTCACCTTGTCACGACACCTGTTTTCACCAAATTTGGTGTAAACTTCCGTATAGGGGTTATTTGGTGTCCTGATTACGAATATGACATTCATTCTCGGCGCTGGCGCTATTTGGCGCCTATTTTCTGCTCGTCTGCGCTCTCCAACCGAAATATGCGTTGAACAACGTTAATGCCAAAAACGAATGTCATATTCGTAATCAGGGCACCAAATAACCCCTATACAGAAGTTTACACCGATTTTGGTGAAAACAAGGGTCGTGACAAGGTGACGCCAACTGGCGCCAGATGGCGCCACCGCTAAAATGAATGTCGTTCGTAATCAGCATATCGAATTACCCTATAGGAAAGTTACGGTTGTCTTTAGATGTACGCAAACGCATCAGAGTCAACCGTGCGTTGCGCAGTTCGCAACGGCACGTTGAGAGATCCTCAACGCACGCTGTATGGGCGGAGACACAGACGGCTCGAGCATGCGAGTGTGAATGTTCGCGTGGCCGTTGGGAACTGCGCAACGCACGGTTGACTCTGAGTGCACTACCTTAGGTATTTTTTCGAACCGCTGCATGATCGGTGAAGAAACAAAGGAAAGAAAAACCGGATTCGTTTCTGAAGCTGTACTCTCGGCAAATGAAAGCCAGTGAGTAGTAGAACAATCACAGCAAGTTTTTCGGCTGAAGACACTTAGAAGATTAATTACGCGGAAGATTCGGATAACGATATATGTAATGGCTCCACAAGTAAATTCAAGAAACCGTCGCAGAGACGTCGCAAATAGAGTTTAACCCTTGAGCCCTGGCGGTAGCAGTGGCCATCTCTAAATTCAGTGGCCTACTAATGGCGACACTACTTCCTACTCTTCAGACAAGTTTGTCTTTTGAATTTGCTTGGCACCTGTCACTTCATCTGCGTAGCAAGAAAGAAAAGCAATAAGGGAAGATTTTCTCTCGCTGAAAGTAATTCGGGGCTGGAAGGTGTAAATAACGCAATACTTGGAAAGTTCAACGTAAAACAACGCGGTAGCGAATTGGAAAAAGCAATGGGCCACTGTTATTAAACCAACGATTCGATAAATAGGTGTGGAAGAACGCTCATAAATGAAGCTAGAGGTGGGGAGTGGCCCGAAAAAGGAAAAGAAAGGAAGAAGAAATCCCAGATAACGCCCCGAATAAGGACATCCTCTATTTCAGCCGCATCCACCATTGGGGTACCAGACAGGAGGCCCGTCGCGCGGCAAGAAGGCAGAGTCAGCGGACGAGTCGCAGCGCGTGATGTGCGATGTAGGACGTGCAATGGTACATTCTATTTAACTTGACGCGAAATCACTACAGTACGCGCTGCGACTCGTCCGCTGACTCTGCCTTCTTGCCGCGCGACGGGCCTCCTGTCGGGTACCTCCACCATTGGGATAGAGGAGAGGCGTGTTGGACGAGTTTCACGAACCAAGCTCAGTTGCTCCAGTGCCAATGACATAGAACTGCAATGCAAGCGCTGCCGCAACTGCGCCCGCGCGTTTTCTAACCCTAAGCCCTTAACCCGATGGAATCCTCTATGTAAAGATGTTGTAGAGCAAGATACTTCTCGAGCATACATAATACATAACACTTCTCCAGCTCGGTGGGTGCTCTGAAGTTAGCGCTTCAGAAGAGGTGGGACGACATCGCCGTTGGCTACCTGCGGCGCACTGCTGATTTTGTCGTTGGACGTCAGAAGGCCTCTCAAAGCAGAGTCGTCAAATTCAAAGCACCTTCTGCACAAGTGATCAAATAGCTTAACTCTATCTTTGTGTGAAGTCGGTTTCCTGATCGAGTCTCTTTCTTGGCTTTTACACACAAAAACATGGCGTCCTATACTTTTCGGCCACCCTGTACACTTGGGTTTCATAAGCGATGAACGCTGACTATACGCTTATAGAGTGCCAGCGTTAGTAGTGCAGTGTGGAGAGGATGGTGCTTCAAATTATTCCGAAATACGCATATGCAGAGGAATCTGGAGTTGCAAACTTTTTAACGATTGAAGTAGCTTGCACTGCTATCACTACTTTATATCTGGTCCCACTCCCAACTAGGTCGGTGATTGTGTGAAAAGCATCGAGAAATCACCCACATAGAACAGCTCCGAAACAAGACGCGACACTGGTGAATGCATAAACTGAACCACCTGGACGTTGTGTAACCATTGTTGATAACAATACACTAGCAAAATAACAGAGACTAGATTTTAGCAAAAAGGTCCCATTCATACTCGATCTAACTGCCGCGCATCTATATTCAGGTGATGTTACCTGCAGTCCGATTGGCCACGATCGACATTACATGGTATCGTTTTTCGATGAAGAAACGATGACTGCTTATCCGATGATGTCAAAAATATCAGATCGCCGTCTGCCAAGCTGAGTTCGGCATCTTACGGAGATCCGATCATAGTGCGACCAATGGTCCAAGAATTCAATACAAACAACATAGGTAACCTATCCCAGAAATCTCATAAGAGAATCTATAAATGCCAATCGAGGCCATAATTGTTTTGTGACGATGACCGAAATTTATTCAAATCAGTGAAAAGCCATCTACAGATGGTAAGATATGTAACGAACAATATTTTTCCACAGCTTTGAAAAACATAGGAAGAGTCGAGGTATATATTCTTATAGAGCTGTGCTTCTAAGAACCCTCTCAGGGAGTAACTCCTAGCATGAAATCATCCTGCTCCAGCGGAATACCACCGGTAGCCCACGACACCGAGGCACAGAGCCAATAACCCCAGACTGTTGAATTTCATCGTTAGCTCGAATACCCCCGACAAAGCTATACGCAAGAATCTCGAAATTTTGAACGTCGCTGCCGTACCAAAGTTCTAACAGGATCGGCCCATTGGCTTCTTCACGCGAAGTCCCTCCTCCCGAGGCATGAGAGAGCCGCTGATCACGAAGCGAAGCTCTAAAGCGGTTAAAGTGGGACCCTTCACTCCCTCTTGCTGCAGCCAGGACCCAATTACAAAATCAAAGAAATTATGAAGACTACCTTCGGCTCGTTGAGTACCTTCACGATAGTCCCGCCAAGGCAGAGAGTTTGAGTCACCAAGAGACGTCTATAAAGGAGATCTCTGGATCTGAGGAGTCGCACGAGCTGTAGGAAATTACTAGCTCACTTTCAAGCTTACGGAGCTGTGCAGAGACGAAATAAAAGGAAGACCTTGAGGAGCGCTAAGCAGCAGTATTAGCTGAACCAATAGGATCTGGTAGGAGCGCAGCCTTTTCAGCTATAATATCAATATGAACTGCTTCCGAGTTTCGGGTGGATGTTTTGCGGGTGCTGGAGGAAGCTATACGCAACCTTCTCTCTTGCCTATTCGACGGCCATATCAACATGCACACGTGTCATCTGAAGCAAGATGGATACGTCGCTATTTCGTTGTTTCTCTCGGAGTATGATACGCCATTTCATCGGTGAATAACTGAACAGCACCTGGTCTCGATAAGATCAGATCAGACCGGAACAACTGAAGAATTCAACGCTAGTTGTCGCCAAAATGCTGACTGGATTCCCTCTATCTGTCGTAATGAAAGGTGCCTACATCGTGGGATCAGCAGAGAATTCTTCGAGAAGCGAAACTTGTATGATATGAGTAACTATCGCCCAATCTGCCTGCTGTCTGTAATCTACAAGCTATTCACTCGAGTCATCCTTAACAGGATCGGCAGAATACTAGATGAAGGACAGCCATGCGAGCAAGCAGGGTTTCGAAGAGGGTTCAGCACGATCGACCATATCCACACGGTTACGAGACTCATTGAAGTTTCACGAGAGTACAAGATGCCGCTTTGTCTCACGTTCATCGAAATGAATGAAGCTTTGGATCCTGTGGAAGTGTATTTGGAGCCCTAGTCAACCAGGGCGTTTCTACTCAGTGCACAATACACAAGGCTCTTCATGAGCCCCATAGCAAGCTTATATTCAGGACCCTCCCTACAAGTAGATTACCATCGACGTGAAAAGAGGGGTTCAAAGGGACGGCAATACCCTGCCCGAACTTTTCGGCGCCACCCTGAGAAAGACATGGAGTAAAGGTAAACGGCCGACAATATCCCCATCTTCGCTTTCCCGACGACATCATGCTCATTAATAAGGAGCAACAGCGAATTACTGTCTGGTAATGCAACGAACGTGTGAAAGGTTCAGCCAAACCACGATCTATTTACTGTGAAGCGGAGTGGTGCCTGATGTTTATTCATGCTGAGCGGAATGATCGTCCGAGTGTTTCAACCACGTGCACCTAGGCCGGTGTCACAAACTCTGCTCATGACGAGCCATCGGTGTCCTAGTAAAAATAGCAGGAGATTTCCCACTTGCAGCCCGTCAACCTATCAGATGAAAGCTCACATATAAGAGCCCAACAAATGACGCCTACAGGGAGAAAGTATATCGAAACGATACGATAGAACGATTACGACGGTGATGATCTTATGAGCAAGCCGAACAATACGGATCAAATCAAACTAAGCCAAAATCACATGAGGAACGGTCGTCAGAACTGATATAAGAGAGCAAGTTGTAAGTAGATCCGTATCGTATTCTCATGTTGTGTTGTTATTACCTAATAAGTCTAGAAGTGAACGGCTCTGGTAACTAATCATTGAACCCTGATGCACGTCCAAACAGTGGGGAAGGCAACGTGCTGAATGACCTATCTCCAAACTGATGGGGGTTTTATTGATGTCAAACATATTCAATTTGCAGCGTAAATACGATTAGCATAGCCAGTATTTTATAGGAGTTTGCTGGAGCGATCGTTTATCCCAGGTCATCAGGAAGTTTCACCATGACCATGGCCTCTAATAGCGTGAGCAAATTTGCTGCATGGACTTACATGAAGACGTTTCGTTAGAGAACTAGTTTTAAGCGCCTAGTTTTAGGCGCTGTTCATGTTTGCCTTCAGCTTCTGTTTGGCTGGAGCCGTAGCTGTGTTTGTGCTAGCAGTTTTCATCCTTCTCCATAGACTAGTGACCGACGACAAGGTAAGCTGTGATACTTTGAGCCTCATGAAATGCTTTGAATCATAAATTGCTAGAATTCCATAAGTCATTTTTGAGGAACATGTATTTTGTAGAACAAAAACCCTTCTTAAACTAAAATTGGGAGCTACTTGAAAAAATCGAGAAGCAAAAAATCGAGCTTGGTCTACATGAAATTGGTCGCCTAACATCGAATCTCTCCACAGTTTCTGACAAAGTTCTCCACCAGGAAAAGCAACATCAAAATGAACGAGGAACAAAAAGACGGGGTGAGATCGGGGCTGCTTGGAGTGATCGCTGAATAAGTCACTGATCTGACAACTCGTTGATGAATGATTCTCGTAAGAAGCAGACATACGTTGACGCGAATCGTTCCTCGGTACCGATCCATTCGTAGAAACACTGATTCGAACGCGCGGGCCGAGCCACCAGCCCTTCGACGTGCGTGTTTACTAATGTTCTACTAGGCACGTCGTAGACTCGGCATTGGAAGTTGGACTTGGGCGTCATCATGAGCACACAGCTACACTTTGATTGAACGCACTCTACCGACTACAACCACTACTCAGTTGCGGTGAAAAATGAAGTTTTGAAAAATTCCCTCTTGGTTATGAGAAGACAGTTTTCAGATGCATCGGATAAGGATGACATGGGCCCTTTCAAAGCAGCAGTCCCAGCAGGGTTCATGCATTCGATTCTAATGGGGTGAAAGGATGCACTAGCTCTAGTCAAGAACATATGATGTGTCACTGAACACAAACTCACCTTGGAAAACCGCTAGAAAGGACTTACGCTCCCGAAGTGAGCGTGCGGTTCCACAGAATGCAACGCCCACTTGCCAGCCGTGGGGATCGCGTGCTTCGATGCGGGTCCTTGCGCGATTGCGTGTAACTGTACCGCGTTTCGAAATTAATGCTGCCTCTTTTTGGTTGGTTTTACTTGCTTAACTCATTTAATTATCGCATTTCTTTGTTTGTACTGATGCATATGTCTCTGCTTGTATTGGTGCATATGCGATTGCAGCCGCATTTCTTGCTGGCACGAGCCAGCAAGAAATGCCGGCAGAGCAAGCCAGTTCGACAGCTCGTCCGACACGCCCTTCCTTCATTCCTGAGTGGAAGAGGGGGAGCTTCTGTTTAACAGCTTCATCGGCGGTTTCTTTGCTTTTTCCATTAGCAGTCAACTCGCCATCTACAACTTCATTATCGACCGCTTTTACCCGCGAATTCGATCTGGAATTGTTATTTAAGCGCACCTGCAACACTCTCGGAGAGGCAGTCCTTACAGTTCGCCACTAGACAAACGTCTCTAACTGCGGAACATCATCTCGGAACTCCTGAATGGAGCGGCAGGTGCAGCATGCATTCCAAACCTTTTTGGGCTTAATAAGCTGCCTGCTGAGACGATCTAGGGAAACTTAAAGGGTGTAGCGTAGTACAGCTCGATGCAGCGGATACAAGGAGAAGGCTCCGACGACCGCATGGCACAAACACACCTCACAAGCGATTGAGAAATCCTCTTATCACTTTAAGCCCAACCCCTTGGACTCTGTCAAGCATCGTTTTAAAGAGCTTATATCGGGGACATGAGGCTCAGCGA